TTCTGAATGTATGTTTAAGGGTGGGGACCATCCGAAACACAAGTTCAAACTTAACTGATTCAGGATGGCATTCAAAGCTTTGCAATATTAGGCATCTGCGATGGCAGTAAGGATAAGGAAGTTCTTAGGCAAGGGAGACTGTGACACGTGGTCTCTTGGCCTCTTTCTCAGTCCTGTCCTTTTAGACTGTAAGACAGTGGTCGGCAAACTGCAGCTCGCGAACCACATGCGGCTCTTTGGCCCTTTGAGTGTGGCTTGGCATTAGAACCACTTCTTCAAAATAGACTTGCCCAGACCAAACACTGACTTCTGCACATGGGCCACAAAATTTCAACCGCACTGTATGTGCGCGCCCGCAAGTGGTATTTTGTGGAAGAGCCACACTCAAGGGGCCAAAGAGCTGCATGTGGTTCACAAGCTGCAGTTTGCCAATCACTGAGGTAAGACATCTTCCCTGAGAGCTGCTCAGGGCACTTTCCAGGCCCATAGAAACCTCCTTGCTTACTTCTCATTCCCCACACTCAGGCCTTCCTTCAAGTTCTTAACCCACACTCTTGTTAGTCCTCCACATAACACCTCCTAATTCCCTCTTTTCCTCTCACAATCATCTTTAAGACATTTTAAAATCAGAGCTCAAATGACTCACAACCACAAACTATTTTCTCCTTATTAGAGGGCAGGAAGGATCCAGGCATCAAAGGCTCCTGAGAAGTAAGTAGGGCCTGTTCGGCCTGGCTCAGTGGTTAAGCATCAACCTATAAATCAGGAGGCCATGGTTCGATTCCCAGTCAGGGCACATGCCTGAGTTGTGGGCTCGATCTCCAGAAAGGGTGCAGAAGGCAGCCGATTAATGATTATCTCTCATCATTGATGTTTCTATCTATCTCTCTCCCTTTCCCTTCCTCCCTGAAATCAATAAAAACATATATTTTTTAAAAAGAAGTAAGGAGGAATGTTTGGTTTCCATCTCAGAGGCACATGCGCCTCATATTCTAGAATAGGTTGGATCATGGTAAGCAGTTGTCATTATGTTTCTGAATTAAAACTGGTTGACTAGCCATATCCTGCTATATTCTTCATCTCAATTAATCTACAACAAACCCATGCAGTTGGTCATATTATCAGCCCCATTTGAAAGATGAGGCAACTCAGGCACAGGGAGGGTAAGTAACTTGCATGAGATCACACAGCTAGTAGACAACCAAGCTGAGCGCCTGAACCCTTAAAGCAAACTCTAAGGCTTAGGAGAGGAGTTAATCCCAGAAAGTGTTAGCTCTTTATCCTCTCTCCAGCCTCTGGATCTACTAGGCATTAACATAGATATGGGGTGTCCCCCCAAAATACATGGACAAAACTAAAATGTCTAGACACAATCTGTTAGAATCTATAAAAATCGCTACCCAGATACCAACTTTCGGCATTATTACCCACTGCACATGTATTATATGTAGAATTCACCAGGCGATATATTTTAGTGATGATGAATTATTTATATAGCACCCGGGAAATTTTTCTTTTGTTTTTATTATATAAGCAATATAAGTTCATTATAAAAAAAGTCAAACAGAAGAGAATGAACTGAGATATAAAGGTCTTACCCTGATACCAACCATTCATTTCAACATCCCAGAAATAACTGCTTTTATTAATAGCTTATCTATGCAGTCACAAGAAAGTATTGTTTATTTGTTGATGTTTTTAGACAAATGGGAAGATACTATGCATTCTTGTTTTTTCAAATGCTTTTTTCAGTATATATATTGTGTATCTTGCCACATATAGCTTTTACTGATTGCATGATACCCCACTTTTAAGGGATGCATGAAGAAATTTTTGACTAGTCTCCCAATGCCTCCTAATTTCCTGAGAAATAATGGTAGCTCACAACATAATGAAATGAATAAACATCATTACATTTGTACACAAGCTCCCCACTAGCATAGAAGCCTTATGGTGGCAAAGGTTTTGCCTGCTTTGCTCATTGATAAACCCTCAGCACTTAGTGCAATCTCTGACACATAGGGGATGCCCAATAAGCACTCATAGGATGAATATATCTTCATGTGTATATATGTACCTACACATATATTTTTAAATTCCTATGTGTATTGGCCAATCAACCTCCAAAATTACTTTGCCATGTACTCCTATCTTTGTTTTGATCAGTTGGGGACTTCATTTTGAGAGCTCAGTGTAATAGAAATTGTGAATGCTTGGTATTAGTTTTCTGCTACTGCTGTAACAAGTTACCAGACATGTGGTGGCTTAAAACAACACAAATGTATTATCTCTTGGCTCTGGAGGTCAGATGCCCACAATGGGTTGGCAGGGCTGCGTTCCTTCTGGACCCTTAAGGGAAGAACTCATTGCCTTGCCTTTGCCAACTCCTAAGGGCTGCATTCCTTGGCGTCTGACTCTTCCACATCATTTCAACCTTTGCTTCCATTATCACATCTCCTTTTCTGACCCTCTTGTTTTCCGCCTTCCCTGTGATTACACTGGGCCCATCTTGATAACCTAAAATAATCTCCCCATTTTGAAATCTCTATCTTAATCACATTCGCAAGGCCCTAATTGCCATGTAAAGGGCATAATCACAGATTCCAGGAATTGGGATGTGGGTATCTTTGGGAAGCCATTATTATTCTGTCTACCACAGCTTGGGAGTCAGGTCTGACTTTCAGTGTTGTCATTTCACAGCATCTTCTCTGTGTTGAGTGCTGACCTAGCTTACCATGTCCTGACCTAAATCTAAGTAGTATGCTAACTAGCTTGGTGGTCTTACCCCAGTTACAAATCTTCCCTGAACCTTCATTTTTCTCACTTGCAGAACTGGAGAGATCGATACCTCTCTCATTGCTGGTGTGAATGTGAATTGGTACAGGCTCTTTAGAAGGAAATGTGGCACTGTGAATGTAATGAAAATCCTTATGAATGTCTTTTCTCTTTAGCCCAGTAATTATCCATTTCTAAAGTGTATCTTAGGGCATGGATGAATTTATGCATAAAGTTGTGCAGTGAAATATTATCTATAATACTCGGGCAGAGGGAGTGGAAATGGTCAACTGGAGAAAGAGGATACCTCTAAGAAGAGCTTAGTAGGTGGCTCACTGGGCTCAAATTTAAAAAGAGAGCCTAACAGCTGTTTCTAAACAGGGATCTCCTATGAAAATCACAATTCAGGGAGAAGCCTGCACTAAGGGGCCTGCCTCCCACACTGCCTACACTGTGTTCCTAACTTCTGAGTCAATCTTTATAAAGAATCATATTTTGACCAATAGGACTTAGACTTTCCCTGTCATTCAGTGTTTCTCAGCTATATCATTAGCACCTTCACAGACCAATCAGAGAGGCTCTGTTCTGACCAATCAGAACAGCGCTTTTTGGACCAAACTGTGAGAATTTACAGACCTCATTTACATGAGAATTGATTCATCAGAGACCAAGGGCAGAGACTTCTTTCTGAAAAGTCAGTTGCCCTCTGGCTCAGCCCATACACTGTCTCTTTCACCAGTGGTGATTGTGTTTCCCTGGCTGGAGCTGAACCATCAAAGACATCTCTGCAATCCAGAGTTGATGGGACAGGAGTGGAGCAGAGCATGAATGGTGCACTGAATAACGTTTCCTTCCTCACCACACACCAACTCGGGGATTCCTGTTGACATTGAATTGTTGCCAAAAATCATTGGTTGGAAAAACAAACTGTTTACTAATAAGGATTAAGGAAATAAGTACCATACCTCCTCATTACAAAAATCTCACCCTATGAAAGGATTTTGTGAAAGGATATTAAACACCATGTTCAGAGGTTTGTCAAATGTTAGTGACAAACTTAAATCAGGGCTACTTCTTATATCAAAAAGAGAATTTTGTGTGGTGAAAGAGTGTGTATATATTTGTATATAGGATGTCCCAAAAATGTATGAACACACTTTGAATAATTATAAAGGCAGTGTTTGTTTAAAAGCATTTCATTTTCAAAATTGAGCTATCAACTGTTAAAGTGTGTATACATATTTTGGGACACCCAGTATATATTAAAAGTATACATTTCATGTTACAGAGGTTATTTCTGGACTATAGAATCACAACTAATTTTTATTTTGGCTTACTTATAGTTTCTATTTTCTAATAATGAAGGTGGTGGGAGGGGTATTTCTACATAGAACAATTCATTAGATTATCAGGCATTTCTAGATATAGAACAAAAACTATCAAAGGTGTCCCTCTAGTGGAAGGTGGTACAGGGCTGCTGTGGAACAAGTGGTTGAGACTTTATTTTAAATTGCTTATTGTATTCGAGACCTTCCGAGAGAAACAAGAGGCCTGAAATTAGTAAACTGTTCTACTTAACTCAAAATATTCTTAAATTGGGAGATTGACAAGTAACTTTCTCAATGGTAAAAGTCTGGGATTTAAACTCCTTGAATTTCATTCTCCTATCCTACTTTTTGGTAGTTTGTTTTCTAGGTCCAGGTCTAGGATGCCGGGCTTTCAAATCCGAAGTACCAGAGGAGGTGGATGACTGACGGCTGGGGAAAGGCGGCTTTTCACAGCGGGCACCTGTCTGGACTACTAGCACCGACTACTAGCACCGCCCTATGACTATGAATCTTCGCTCCGCTCGGCTTCTCGTGGACTGTGTTCGGCCAGCACTTCTCGGCTCGGCTCGGCTCGGCTCGGCTCGGCTCGGCTCGGCTCCGCTCGGCTCGGCTCGGCTCGGCTCGGCTCGGCTCGGCTCGGCTCGGCGCGGCTCGGCGCGGCTCGGCTCGGCTCGGCTCGGCTCGGCTCGGCTCTCTTCGGCTTCTTTCGGAAGATTCTCGTCGCGGCCTCGGTTCCCCTTCGGCCAGCGCTCGTCCTCTCGGGCTCGGCTCTCTCCGGCTTCCTTCGGCAGACGCTCGCCCGGGCCTCCGCTCCTCTTCGGCGGGGCTCGGCTGACGCTCGTCCCCTCGGGCTCGGCTCTGTTCGCCCGCGCTCGGCCGCGGCCCGGAAGGGCGCCCATGGAGCGGGGACTGTCGGCGCGGCCCACGGCGATGGCGCCGCTGCTGGAGTACGAGCGGCAGCTGGTGCTGGAGCTGCTGGACGCGGACGGGCTGGTGGTGTGCGCCCGCGGGCTCGGCGCCGACAGGCTCCTCTACCACTTCCTCCGGCTGCACTGCCACCCGGCCTGCCTGGTGCTGGTGCTCAACACGCAGCCGGCCGAGGAGGTGCGGCCGCCGGCGCCGGGCTGAGGGCGCCCCGGGAGCGAGGGGGACCCCGGGCGGGTGGATGCGGCCCCGGCGCGGAGGCGAGGCCGCCGAGGGCGGCGCAGGCCCCGGCCGCCGGGATGGGGAGGCGTGGAATGAGGGGCCCGGGGGCAGAGGCAGGTCCCTGACATGGATGCGGGGCACCCGGGGGGATGCAGGTCCCTGACCAAGGACAGTGAGCGGGATGGAGGGGCTCTGACAGGAGTAGGGGAGGCCCCTTCGGAGGATAGGAATAATGATGGGATCCCCTATTTAAAGGGTTTGCTGGGGTCAGAGGAGTAGGATTGGGGAAAGGGGTGGGGATGGGGATGGAGGAACCTCTGAGCATCATGTGGGGGGGGGGGGGGGACGTGAAGGATGCTGATGCTGGGAGAGAACCTTGTAGGGAAGGGGAGGGACTGAGGTTCACCAGAGCTGAGGGAGGAGGGCTAGGATCAGAGGGGAGGGGAGGGAGCTGGAAGTTGGGGATATTGGGGAAGGGGACCTGGGATTGTGGGGCGTACACCTGTGCTGGGGTGTCGTCCTGGGGGTGTTGAGAGGTGACAGGGCCTGGTCTGACAAGGCTGATGAGCCGGAGACAGAGCAGGTGGCAGGAGGGACGTGTCAGCTGGGAAGATCGACCACAATCTCCTTGAGGGCAGGGCTCCTGTGCCATCCACGTAGGCACGGCCTGTGCCTGACAGAGGCCTGAGCCCCACCCGCCCCACGCCCAGGCCCCAGTGAAGGCGGTGCTGAGCTGAAGGTGTGCGGGGCCGAGGGCCCCATTGACATGATGAGATTCCCCCTGGGAGGATCTTGACAGAACTACTAAGGCACACATTACCCCCAGGAGATACCCCTGGATATCCTCTTGCTGGTACAAACCTGGCTTTGGTGGGAAGTATTTTTCTTTCTAGGTAGCAGATGTCTTTTCAACTCAGGGGTTGAAAGCCTTTTTTTCCCCCTCACTTTTTAAATTAAGGTATTATATGTGAACTTACCTTACCAATCCCCACCCCCTCCCATTCCCATACATGCCTTCCCTCCTCAGAGTTTTTCGTCCATTGGTTATGCTTATATGCATGCATATAAGTCCTTGAAAGCCTTTTTACAATTATTATTAAAATACCAATAACAACTGCAATGATTCCTTTGTGTAAGCCTCAAAACAAAAATAAAACCCTAGTGAAGTGCAGTCTGGCTGGTTGATCAACATCAAGTAGTGACATTTTAATGTGTGTGTGTGCATGATTAATGGAAGTTCATGTAAGTTCCTTATCTCTGGGGAAAGCTGCCCATCATTGGAAAGACAAGTCCCTGCAACCTCATAAAAGCTGCCCCTTGTGTGAAACAGCCCACTAACTAGGTTTCCTTTGGTTTAGGAGTATTTTATCAATCAGCTGAAGATAGAAGGGGTGGAACACCTCCCCCGCCGAGTGACCAATGAGATCGCCAGCAGCGGTCGCTATGAGGTTTACACACAAGGAGGTGTGATCTTTGCAACCAGTCGGATACTCGTGGTTGATTTTTTGACTGATAGAATCCCTTCAGATTTAATTACGGGTAAGAATTTGAAAGTTTGTCATATGTATGTAAATTTGCCTTTTTGTGTGTGTGTGTGTCTGTCCCCTCTGCTAAACTACTCTAAGTGAGAACCTTCTTGTGAGTAGCATTGTGTGTATTTTCTCAACATTGTCCTTTTAGCCATTAGCACAATATCTGACACATTACAGATGCTCAGTAAATGTTTGTGGCCTGAATAAGTAAACCAATAAATGTAAGATTGACTTTTCCTTGTTTTCTAAGCTCATGTTCAGTAAATAACGTGGTACTTGGATGGCATTTGCTTTTCGGACCTAATCGGACTTGAAATGTTTATAAATGTTCTTTGTATATTTCCTAAAATATTTGGTTTTCCTCTTTAAAGAGTACTTTTTTCCCGTGATGTGAATTAGACCAAATAGTTGCTTAATTATTTTGAGAAGAACGGTTTCTTAGCTAGAATGAATATAGAAAAGGAACTATTATTATTATTATTATTATTATTATTATTACTTGTTTTTTTAAGAAACCTTTTCTGATTTCCCCAAAACTAATTTAGAAGCTCTACCTCTGTGACCTCAGGTTATCCCATGCTTCTCATAGCACTCAAAACACCATAAAATGTTTGCTTACTTATTTGTCTGTCTGGCTCATGAGAGAACAAGCTTTATAGGCACAAGGAACAACTTGTTTGTCCCAGGCTCCAAGTAACTGGTACACAGTAGGTACTAAACACACATTTGTTGGGTGAATGATGCATCGGTGTACTGTGAACTTTTGGAGGGGAGAGAGGCTTAGGAAAGTCATAATTGTACTTTCCCGTTTTGTCCATCCTATTGCTCTGAACCTAGGAGACCCTCAAAAATTATTTAATGAATAAGCATAAGAATGCATTCTTTTTATGGTTCATGGTGAGCTGATTGTTATAAGCTGTGGCACAGACCATGCAGTCAGAATCACCTGACTTTGGTAATGCCACTGCTTACAAGCAACTTACTTAATTTTTCATTAATTTCTTTTTCATGAGTCCCAGTGTTCTCATTTTTTTTAATAGTGTGATTTTTTAATTAATTAATTTATTTATTTTTAATATATTTTATTAATTTTGTACAGAGAGGAAGGGAGAGAGATACAGAGTTAGAAACATCGATGAGAGAGTCATCGATCAGCTGCCTCTTGCACATTCCCTACTGGGAATATGCCCGCAACCAAGGTATTATACATGCCCTTTACCGGAATTGAACCCAGGACCAAGGTACATGCCCTTTACCAGAATCAAACCCTCAGTCCCCAAATCAACGCTCTTTCCATTGAGCCAAACCGGTTTCGGCTGTTCTCAATTCTTAATTGCTTAGTATTAGGGCCTGGTATGTGAAAAACACTTAATGAATAATATAAAAAAGTATATTGGCATTTTATAACCAGAAATCTTGATAGATCATGAAGTCTTTTACTGTTTGCACCTTTCCTATAAGTTTTATTTGTCTTTATTTTTTAGGTTGATAAAATGAAAAAAAAATCTTGAAACCACCACCAGATGTCAGTATTGCTCTTTCAATAATAGTGCAACCTACTTAAGCAATCTGAGTCCAATAAATGTCCAAAGTAGAGCTTGTACGCACTTTCTAATTAAAAGTTAATTTCTGTATGACCCAGTAACTCGTCTGTAAATCAGAGGCAGTAATAATACTTTCCTTCTAGGGTTATTGTCAGGGTGAAATGAGATACCCTATGTAAAATTCTTAGCATTGTGCATGGCACATAGGAAGCACTCTGTGACTACTGTGTGTTGTGAATGTTCCTGTCCTCAGGCAGTTTAGTGGAGGAGAACGATGTAAAAAAATATTTACAGCACAATATGAGATGAGATACAAGATGTTATTGGAGCACAAAAAAATTCAGTACGCTTTTGTGGGATTAGAATTGCCCCAGAAATATGACCAGCTTGTGTTGTTTTTATTTCTTTTTATAAAATGTGGGGTTCTCAAATAGTTCACTTGTTAGGAAAAACTGGGTTTTGGAATCTTTGGTCTCCCGTTACTTGTTGGAAGACCTTAATTAAGTCACTTCCCTTTCCTGGTCTCATAATAATGCCTACCTCATAGAATTATTGTGAAGTTTAAATTAAATAAAACTCTATAAAAGTACCTAACCCCAGGGCCTTGGATATTAGTTCTTTTCTCCTTCCTATATTGGGCTTCAAAAAAATGACAGCCTGGTAGAGCACAACATTTTCTTAAATTGAGGTTCACCTTCTCTTTAGAAGTCATTTTTAATTTTATATAATATTTCAATTCAGGCCAGCAAATGTGGCCCAGTAGGGTACTTGGAAAAACCCACCTACTAGGTACAGAATCTTTTTCTTTCTGAATAGTAAATTAATTATGAACATGTACTGGAGTGATTGAAAATCCTTTGTTTACAAATTCTTAAATAATACTATTAATTTTTACCATATTTGAAAAACAATTTGCTTAGGCAAATAAATGTTACCTCCATCCACCGTAATCCAGAATTTAAACACGAAAATAGTAGAATCTGAATTGAAGGGGTCATATATTGCAATTGGTGTAATTTTCTAGAAACTAGAAGTGATGACAACTGGGGCAAAAATATGCAAGTGCATTTATAGCAAATATATATAACAATATATATAACAGGCTTGGTTTGCATCTACAAGGCTGAGAATCATCATAGAATAATTGAGTTTTTGACCCAGAAATTATGTCTATGCGTTCTTTTACCATCTCATGTCTGTCCCTAATTTATCACTAATCATACCACAACAAAATTATATATATTATATATATATGGAAGGTCATCTGGTTCAGTGCTTGTTTTATAAATAAGGAAACATGTATAATTGTCTGTGTTTTTTGTGATTCAGAGGTGTTATCACCACACCCACATCAAAAAAAGAAAAAAATGTATGTTCTAAACATACTCATTAAAAGTGTTTATTTTAACTGGACTAATTTAGCTCTCAATTGAATACTCTGATTCTGAAAATTGAATTATTTTAATAGACGATGCAGATATTGCCGAAACTTCTGAAATGCAGCGATCTTGTGTAGTCCACATCTCATTCACAATAAAAAGAGAATTAGTAACCCATTTAGCTTTCAGAAATGCTTCCACTGTGCCAGACACAGCCTACCCCAGGGCCTTTGCTCGTATGATCGCCTCCATCTGGAGGTCTCTTGGCCCACAGAGTCTGCAAGGCTCATCTCCTCATCGGCCTTCATTCACATGACCTCAGTGAGGCCATCCTATCTAAAAATTCAAACCGCACCCTTCACACATGCACCCCCTCCTCTGATTCATTTTTTTCTCTCCAGCTCTTATCACCTTATAACCGACTGACTATTTTACTTATTTATATTGTGAATAGAAGTGACATAAGGACTACCTATTTTCTCTGAGACAATACTCCCAGCCTAGCGCAGTGCTTGCCCATGCTCAAGTAGGCACTCAAGAAAAATGTGATGAGTAAGTGACTGAAACTGAGCCTGAAAACTGCATCTACCCTGTAACTGAAATTCTAATTTCCCCCTTCAGGCATCTTGGTGTATAGAGCTCACAGAATAATCGAGTCTTGTCAAGAAGCATTCATCTTGCGCCTCTTTCGCCAGAAAAACAAGCGTGGCTTCATTAAAGCTTTCACGGACAACGCTGTTGCCTTCGATACCGGTTTCTGTCACGTGGAGAGGGTGATGAGGAACCTTTTCGTAAGGAAGCTCTATCTGTGGCCCAGGTACGTAGCATTATGGGATCAATTGCTGAGAGACTCTGCTGTCATTTCACTTTGCACTTTAATGTGATGTAAAACTTACTGTAATTGGACTTGATACGTGCTAGTCAGGTTCATAACAAGTGCATCTAAATATAAATAATATATGGTCACCACCTTGGTGATTCTTTTTAAAGGAGAAAGAAATTTGGTGGTTATTTTTCTGGTAGCCCATCAAAGCCATCCCAATGCAGCCATGCTATCCTTTCTCATCCACTTAATAAAACTCCAAGAGAGCTATCTACAGACTCATATACACAGTAGCTGTAGGTAAACTGCAGATTTATTGGCCCACTTCCACTTTGAAAATAACCCATCAGGGAAATCATGCCCAAAGATTTTGAAGAATTTCAGTAAATTTCTAGGAAAGACAGAAGGCTTCAGTTTTCAAACATTTTGCAACCTATGCTAATAGGTAGTGTGGTTACACTTTATGGTATTCAAGAGTAGTTGTCTTTTTTGTTTCTTGATTATGCCTTATTTTGGGTATCAGCAAACTTTTCCCGGAAGGGGCCAGTATGTAACGATTGAAGTTTTGTGGGCCATGCGGTCTGTTAGTTATTCAGCTCTGCTGTCCTAGCATGAAAGTAACCATAAACAATACATGAACCGTGGGCATGGCTGTGTCCCAGAAAGACTATTTATAAAAATAGGCCCAGGCCTGGCTGCTATCATAGAAATTCATGCGGTGGCTCAGGTGCTTGAACATCATCCAGTGCACCAAAAGGTCGCCCGTTCGATTCCTGGTCAGGACACATGCCCAGGTTTTGGGTTCAGTTCCCAGTCACAGTGCATAGAGGAGGCAACCCATCAATGTTTCTCTCTCATAGTAACGTTTCTCTCTCCCTCTCCCTAAAAATTAATGAAAACATATATTTAAAAAATAGGCCCAGGAGTTAACCCAGACCATAGTTTGCTGACCCCTGCTTTATTTGAACAATTTTCATTTATGAAGGTTAAAAGTATTTCTGAAAACATTGTCATTTTACTTTCTATTTTATTTGTTTCTTACTTGCACTAAAAAAAAAAAAAAAATTAAAAAAAAAATTATAAACTTGATCCGAGACCAGAAACATAGCTGTTGAAACTCTAGAAAAATATTTGAAAAATATTTGTCCCTTTAGGTTCCATGTAGCAGTAAACTCGTTTTTAGAGCAGCACAAACCTGAGGTCGTAGAAATCCATGTTTCTATGACACCTGCCATGCTTGCCATACAGACTGCTATACTGGACATTTTAAATGCATGTCTAAAGGAGCTAAAATGTCATAACCCGTCGCTGGAAGTCGAAGATTTGTCTTTAGAAAACGCTATTGGAAAACCCTTTGACAAGGTACTCTATTTCCTTTTTAAGCACAGTTTGTTATGTTATAATTTTAAAGAATGCCAGTTATTTTAATATTTGCAGTGTTCTTCATAGGAATTTGCTGTTGTTTATAATTAATAAAGTACAGATAGCATCTTCGGTTTACTGGAAAGTAGTCATTTGTAGTAAAATATGTGGATTGACATATAAGCACAATTCTGATTTTGCAGCGATTATCTCATTTTAAATACAATTAAGAGGAACACAAATAATCTTTGTGCTCTGCGTTCGGCTATCTACAGGTAGAAGAGTTTTACATAAGACTGCTTCAGAATGTATAATCTCTTGTTTAGGGGAAAAATAATTTGGATAAGTTTTCTTTACTGGGGAATGTGAAATTTGTTGTCTGGTTAGAGCAGCCAATCAATGATTCTCTCTCCTCATTGATGTTTCTATCTCTCTCTCCCTCTCCCTTCTTCTCGAAATCAATAAAAATATATTTTTTAAAAATATTCAAATTTAGTCAGTTTGTTAATTTAACAATTTAGTCAATTTAACAGTTTAGTCAGTATTTAACACTATTTGCCCATCCGTGAATCACACTTAAAAAAAAATAAAGAGCTAAGATCTTTTGCACCAACAAATTAAGGTACAGTTATTTAATTTAATGCCATGTAGTTTCCCTGGCTTATGCCCTCTGCTCCATTGTCCCACTGGACCCCACAACTGTATCAATCCAGGATAAAGTCACAGCTGAACCTGGCAGAAATTGAATGTCTGAGCTGCATGCTTTGACTCTTCTTAAAAATAAATCATTGATTATCTGATGTTTATCAGGCCTTTTCTCTTCTGACTAAAATTGTACATATGGACAATTATGAATTGACTCTATCTGATTATAAAGATTCTACTGATGAGGCACTCTGGATTGTATTTGAAAAATTAAACATTATTTTTAGAATCTTAAGAACTGAAATTTCTATCCACTTTTTTACATGATAACATTTTGGATATTTTTATTGTGATAAACATATCAAACATAATTTTAACCATCTTTTAGGTGTATAGGGGATGATATTTTGAAAGTATAATCTGTATTAATAACAGCTATATGAACATATTTTAGCAATACTAAGTCTTATTCTTATTTTAGACAATCCGCCATTATCTGGATCCTTTGTGGCACCAGCTTGGAGCCAAGACCAAATCCTTGGTTCAGGATTTGAAGATATTACGAACTTTACTGCAATATCTTTCTCAGTATGATTGCATCACATTTCTTAATCTTCTGGAATCCTTGAGAGCAACAGAGAAGGCTTTTGGTCAAAATTCAGGTAGGAGATAAAAATACTAATATTCTTCCAGAAGCTGATTTGAATATAGTACTGGGTTTTGTTGAGGAATCAGGTATGGGGAGTGCTATATTCACCTACTTGATATACTAAAGCTTCAGATTACATTTTACATTCCTAGCACAAAGATATAGGTTTTATTGATAGCTAATGTTTCCGCCTACTTAACTTCTGTTCTCTAAAATAATAAATATTCATTTTCCATTCTGGGCAATTTTATTTTTAGAAAAAAATTTGTATAATACAAGCAGTTCCCAACCTAGAAATAGCTTGCATTCTGGAAGGTTAGTTAAGAATTTAAAATTCATTTTCCATGCAGAAACAGTAAGGCAGTGTGGGTTTCATCAACTAGAGTGCTGAAGACCAAAGAGGAGCTGTTTGTCAGGAAACATAGCATGCACATATGACTGGGCACTGTCATGCTCTGCTGTTAGTCACATCTTTCCCTCACTGTTGTGGCCGAGGCAGGTGATTCTCAAAGTATGGTCCACGGGCCCCTGAGGCCAAGATTTAATAGGATTCACAATTTTTACTGCTTCATCAGGGACATTCTTGAGTGATAAACTGCAAACGCATTGAAATGAAGAATACATTGATGGACTGTACACTTTGGTTCCACTGCCTTGATGGTGCTTAGGCATCCACAGTGTTACGTACTAACGCTTTTGCACCATCATAGGCAATGTTAGTGCAGTGGGAAAAAGTCAAATCAATTAGTATTATAATGAGAATAGTTGTATTATTATGAAGGTAGACCCCCTGAAAATATGTTGGGGTTCCCCAAGAGCCTAAAGGCCACACTTTGAAAACCACTGGTCTAACCAAACGGTGACAGAGGCCATAGGAGGAGGGAAGGTGTAGTTCAGAGAACAAGATGGCAGCCAAGTGTATATATAGATCATGGGACCATCAGAGATTCTTTAAAATTTTAAGGTGTTTTTTTTGTGTGTGTATGTGTATGTATGTTTTTAACTCTTTATATTAGGTTGGCTGTTTCTTGACTCCAGCACCTCAATGTTTGTAAATGCTCGAGCAAGGGTTTATCGTGTTCCGGATTCCAAAATGAGTAAAAAAGGCAAAATGTCCGAAAAAGTGGAGATTAAAGAAGAACAAGGTATCTTGTAGGCTTGGGTTTTTAAATGTGTCTTTTATTTCAGTATTTGGTGTGGAATTGCTTATCAAGTTACATTGAAATTTTAAATCTTTTTTGGTCATGTGAAAATGTGTACCTGTCTGTTAAGTGTAGGTTATATGTAAAGTATGTTAAAAGTATTCACCATGGGGAAAAAAACAAACAAAAGGAAAAAGTATTCACCTTGGAAAATCCTTAGAATCCTTTACCAAAGAATTCAAAGTAACAAATGCCAAGTATCAAGAGTGTATTCTTACTGCTGCATAAGAAGTACAGATTTTCATTTTAACTTCAGAATAATTACTAGTTGGGGCACTTAAAATATTAGTGGAACATTTTAACATCCCTTTAGTTTTTAGAGAACATAAATATACTAGAATGAGGCAAATACAGATTTTATTTCAATGTAATTAATATCATTATGTTTTTAAAATTAAATTTATTTGGTTAATAATACCATATAAGTTTCAGGTGTACAATTCTATAATACATCATCTGTATATTGCATTGTGTAGTCTCCTTTTATCTTCATATATTAGACCTCTTGCCCCTCTGATAACCACCATACTGTTGTCTGTGTCTATAAGTTTGATTGTTCTTTTGTTTTATATCCCATGTGAGAGTGAAATCATATGGTTCTTGTCCTTTTCCATCTGACTTATTGTACTAAGCATGATACTCTCAACCAACACCAAACTAAAAAGTTTCTGCACAGATGAAACCATCAGCAGAACAAAAGACAACCAACTGAATGGGAGAAGATATTTGTAAATGATATATTTGACAAGGGGCAAATATCCAAAATATGTAAAGAACTCATATAGCTCAATAACAAAAATCATTGGTTTCTTAAGGCATGGGATAAGGTTAATGCTTACTTTCTAGTTCAAATATCTATCTTAAAACTTAATTAAACATATTAGTGTTGTGAAATAAAAATTTGACTGTTGTCTACTTCAATTTTATGTTCAGGATTGTGAAAATCATGGGGATTTTAGAAACGGAATACTGTTACTTTCTATTGATTGTTCTGTATAACAGGTCATATATAGCATCACAATTGACAACTAACACAGACTTATCTCTTGATTAGTGACCATGAATAACACTTTCTAGCAAGGCATTATTAAACTTGAATTAATGTTTGAAGTGCCTTTGATTTAAACCACGAAGAGACTTTTTTCTTTCAAGGAAACAGATTCTCCCTAGCATTATGGAGGAAGCTCAAAGGAATGGGCTTATGAAGTGATGCTTGTGTTATCTATTGATTTGAAAACCTTCAGAACACTTCGTGGGTAAAAATGATCACATAGAATGAGATTATCTTTATTTCTGTACAGAAACAAAAAAGGAGCTGGTCCTAGAAAGCAACCCAAAGTGGGAAGCGCTGACTGAAGTACTGAAAGAAATCGAAGCAGAAAATTCGGAGAGTGAAGCCCTTGGTGGTCCAGGTAGGAAAAGGAGGTGCCGACATCTGCTTTCAAAAACCAAACCAATGAGTCTTTTTTATTAGCTCTTTAAAATCAGCTTACTACTGTGTTTATAAAATGTAGAAGATTAAATGCCAAATGAACACAGAAATCTAGCAGCAACCCCCTATCTCTATGACTTTCTCCAGGCTAAGGCACTGTGTATTCATGAAAGCAGGTTCTTTTACTGGTTGGGTTCTCAGGAATTCTATTTAAAGACACAGCTAATCTCCACATATACATTTACCACGCTTAAAATCTGGAATCCCCAAGGAGGAAGCTAAAGGGACTTGTGTTTTATTTTCTCAGCAAGTATCTTTTCAGGGAAACCTAGACTAGTATATGGAGTGACATGGACTTAGCCTTACAAAAATTCCAACTTTCAGGGCTGCTTTCTTCAAACATGAGTATACTAGATTAACATAGACTAAGCCTGAGCTAAATTTAAAAAAATAAAGCCAAACAGAAGGTAAAAGAAAACTAGATTTTTAAACTAATTGAGTCTGAAATTCTGCAAAACAATAAAGGCAAGCACACAATCTTTTTATTAGTAAATGTGTTGGTGATATTATTCCATAACTTACAGTGCTGGATTTAAGACCAAAGGCCCACATGCTCAACTAAAAAAATTTTAAAAATAAAAAAAAAATACAGAAAAAAGAGAAGGCAAAAAATTGGATCTGACAGCCATGTTATTAACAATGGCGTTTATTAACAATATTTTTAACTTTGGCACTTTTCCTTCCAGCCTTCTTTTCCTTCAGATTTAGATGAAATTTCTGGATATAGAATTGATGAGTCAAATAATACTAACATTTTTAAAGTTCTTGAGACATATTACCATATTGATTTACAAAAAGTTTGTCAACTTCTGTTTCTTCTAACAGTATAAAAGTTTATTTCTTTTTCACTTAGGTAACAATGACTAGAGTGTCTGTCTATTTGTGTATATATGTGCACATCCTATATAATAAAAGGATAATATGCAAATAGACCCAATGGTAGAACAACCAGTTGCTATGACATGCACTGACCACCAGGGGGAGGACTCTCAACGCAGGAGCTGCCCCCTGGTGGTCAGTGCGCCTCCCACAGGGGGAGTGTAGCTCAACCAGAAGCCAAGCTCGCCAGCAAGAGGGCACAGGCTGAGCTGAGGAAGGCCACCCCCAACCCCACCCCCACCCCCACCACAGTGCACTAATGCCTTGCCTCAAGCCTCTAGTATATGTATAATTTGTCAATTTGATTGGAGAAAAATGTTACCTTGTTTTAAGTTTTGATGTTTGATAGGCTCAGTATTTTCTCAAATGCATTTCCTCTTCTGTCTTAGTTTTCTTTGCCAACTTAGGCTATATCCTTAGTTTATATCATCTTTTTACACAGTAAAGATACTAACATTTATCATTGTTGCTTAACATTCTTTCTTTGTCTTTTGTTTTTTAATGCACAGGGTTTTATTCTTATAGAGTCAGTTTTAACTTATAGATATTGATCTTCCTGAGATTTTTTTCTGTTGCTTTTAAGCCTAGAAAATCATCTGTAGCCAGACAAGTGAAAAAGAATCATATATATATATCTTTAACATTTGACTCTGAAATCCACTTGGAATTTATTTTGGTGTATAAGATCCTCTAGGAATTATTAATTTAAAAGAACTTTTTAGAAGCCTCCATTATACAATGGCTATACCTTCATGAGATTAAATATTTCTGGCTTCAATTTTACTTAAAAGTTTTACATGATCCTGCATCCAAGACCCCTTTTAAACAAATTTAGCACCAAGAGATAAAAGTGTCTTCCTTGTGAGGAAACGGGTGAGGGGGCCCCTGGGGAAGAGTGACATAATGTTGTTTTCTAATTTTAGGTCAAGTACTGATTTGTGCAAGCGACGACCGAACGTGTTCCCAGCTTAGAGAGTACATCACCATGGGAGCAGAGGCCTTCTTGCTGAGACTCTACCGGAAAGCCTTCGAGAAGGACGGCAAAGCTGAAGAAGTGTGGGTGACTTTCAGAAAGGAGGACGGTGCAAAGAGAACTGGGAAATCTAACAAGAGGCCCAAAGACCCCCAAAGCAAAGAAAGGGCTCCTGCCAAAGAGAGGGCTCTCAAAAAGAAAAAGCGGAAGTTAACGTTAACTCAGATGATGGAGAAACCCGAAGACCTTGAAGAGGAAGGGGACAGCAAAGAAGGATACCCTAGAGACCTGTGCAGCAGCCCGGAGAGCTGCTTAGGAGACATCCAGCACGAGGAGTTTGATTTAAACTTGTCCTCGGATGCCGCTTACGGGATTCTGAAAGACCCCCTCACCATCATCCACCCACTTCTGGGTTGTAGCGACCCCTACGCTCTGACGAGGGTACTCCACGAAGTAGAGCCAAGATACGTGGTTCTGTATGACGCAGAGCTGACCTTCGTGCGTCAGCTCGAAATTTACAGGGCGAGTAGGCCCGGGAAACCTCTCAGGCAAGTGACAGAGAGTGTGGAGTGTGAACTGCGTCTTTAAGGCTTCACATTCACACGTTCTTTAGGATTTAGCACCGCAACTATACCTGTTGCATGTGGGTGTTCTTGTCTTTCACATTCTGCTGTTATATGTTGGTTACATTTGATGAAACCTTTGTTTGCTTTCTGATGAATCTGGGAGTTTGCATAGGAAGGATATCCAGTGTAGCATAACAGTGAGTCCAGAGGCCTGCTCATGATCTCATTACTTGCTGCTCTGTCGTTACGTTGCATATTCTTTATGCACTGGTTTGTACCTCATGGGGTGCTCTATCTAAACAAGTCTAGGAAATTTATATCCTCACTTCTCCCCAAAATTAGCATCACTATGACTTGGCTAAATAATTTCAATCTTCTAAAATGTCTTTTTAAAAAATATATATATTTTATTGATTTTTTACAGAGAGGAAAGGAGAGGAATAGAGAGTTAGGAACATCGATGAGAGAGAGTCATCGATCAGCTGCCTCCTGCACACCCCCTACTGGGGATGTGCCCACAACCAAGGTACATGCCCTTGACCGGAATCGAATCTGGGACCTTTCAGTCCGCAGGCCGACACTCTGTCCACTGAGCCAAACCAGTTTGGCTAAAATGTTTTTCTTATAAATTTTAAGAAGTGACTGAGTTACATTCACATAAAACTAAAGTATTTGAGGAATTATTGTGCCAAGTTTTCTTGAGTTTCAAGAAATATCAGGTGAACAATCTACAGAAATATCAGATGAGAAAATGATGCCTCCCAAAGAATATAGTGTTCTGGCTCTCCAGTTATCTGAGAGGAAATAAACCACAAAATTAATATCCTGAACACAGTCTGAACCAAAAACAGAGCCAAAGACGTTTTTTCCTAGCAAGTTTAACAAATGTAGCCTTTCCCAGTATAGATGAATGGAGGAAGTGGGTCAGAAATAATGCAGAATGAAGAGATTAGATGAAGCTGTTAAATTAATTATAGGCTGGTAAGTTTTTCATACTTTGCCATTGATCAACTTTGTAGATAGCTTGTCTGCTCTTTGTTGCCTGAAAGTAAAATAGTGTGATATTTGCAAACAAAATGTCAGAATCAGAAGGAACCTGGGAATTCAACTGCTCACTCTGTCAGAGGGAAACCAAAGCCCCAGAGATGGTGAACGACTTCCCTCGGCCACGTGGCACATTCATGGAAGAGCTAAGGTCTCTGGACTCACTGTCCAGTGGTCTCTTCCCTGTTCACATTTCAAAGAATCTAGGAAGATGAAGTCTAAAAGAAAAATCGAAAGCTGAAAAAGGGAAATATCTCTGATAGAAGGTGCAGGAAAGGGACAGAAAAAGCTGCTTAATTCATCTTCATAGCAACAAGCAAGATAGAAAAGCAGATCTTTCTAAAAGAAAAGCATATATCGAGTTATTTCTTGAGGACCCTGATGTAATCCATGTGTCTTCAGTGTCTGTGTGCTTATATAAAATGTGCAATAACTCGGTGCTATTAAGACATGAAGAAAAAAGAACTGAGAAATTACTTGTGAAGATAAAGGTCATATAGATCTCACTTGTTTATTTTTCACTAACATAATCTTCCATAAGTGCTTTTTCATGACTACTGCCCGGCCTTTTAAATGCTTGTTTGGCAGAGATGCAAAGAAGCATTGAAGATAGAGAAGCCACTGAGATTTTGTGTTTTCTGGTTTGTTTGTAGTTATAAGGAGAGAATTATTCTATCCCTCTCATTCTCTTTCACTGTTTGCCTAACCTCCGTTCTTCCTTTGGCAAAAGGAAATGACCCATGTGGCAGTGAGACCTGTAGCAGGTGGGGTTCAGGGAGATGAATTTCAGTGTGATAAATGGAACTTTTATCCTTAGTTAAATATTTATTATTTGAGCACTTCAGGTTGCTGATTTCAAATGCTATGTGCTCCCTTTCAGGGATTACAAGTTAGGTCTTTGCAACCTAAAAGAGTTCTGTCCTGATTTGCAGGGTTTACTTTCTCATATACGGAGGTTCGACCGAGGAACAGCGCTATCTCACTGCTTTGCGGAAAGAAAAGGAAGCTTTTGAAAAACTTATCAGGTAATGCATGGACAGTATGAAAGCACGAACTCTCTTGGAAAGGCTGTGCTGGGTGGGGTAATGTCTTAGAGCCCTCTGGGAGGATGGAGAGAAGAGGGGGAGAATCACATCAAGGTAAATCAATCTCTAATTGCTTTTCAGTGCTTTAATAGGATATTAGGAATGTGAGAAAGCTGACCTTTCTGCCTGTAAAGAAATGTAACCTAAAACACCAGAAATATAACTAAAACACTGCTTTTCAAAGATATATGTTCTTAAAACTTTCTCTTCCTCTCCCCCATGCACAAGATTTCTCTCATTCCGTTGAATTATTTTTTTTAAATCCCTGTACAATTTGCATTGTCTGTGGTGCGTGAGTGCTTGACGGTTTACTGGGAAATACTTTTACATCCAGGTCAGTTTAGATCAGATCGCTCTCTGAAAATATTTTTGAAAAGGTGTGATATTTTTCTGAACCTAAGTGTATGCTTTTGAGAATGAGTGTCCTTTAAAGCTGTACATCTAAATAGAAAAAGCTTCTTAATTTAATATAAGGAAAATGTTTCTAAGTGAGATATTCACAAACTGGATGGCTACCTCTCACCCCTGGTAGTGTTTGAGAAATCTGAGAAGCTCCCAACAGGGACATTGTCAAGGAGATCACAGCGTGGTGAGGGAAAATGGATCAGATGATCCCTTAGGGCAGTGGTCAGCAAACTCATTAGTCAACAGAGCCAAATATCAACAGTACAATGATTGAAATTTCTTTTGAGAGCCAAATTTTTAAAACTTAAACTTCTTCTAACGCCACTTCTTCAAAATAGACTCGCGCAGGCCGTGGTATTTTGTGGAAGAGACACACTTTAGGGGCCAAAGAGCTACATGTGGCTCGCCAGCCACAGTTTGCCCACCATGGCCTTGGGCAGTGGTTTGCCGGCCACGGCCTTAGGGAAAATGATCCCTAAGGCTGTGGTTGGCAAACTGCGGCTCGTAAGCCACTTGTGGCTCTTTGGCCCCTTGAGTGTGGCTCTTCCACAAAATACCATGGCCTGGGCGAGTCTATTTTGAAGAAGTGGCGTTAGAAGAAGTTTAAGTTTTAAAAATTTGGCTCTTAAAAGAAATTTCAGTCGTTGTACTGTTGATATTTGGTTCTGTTGTCTAATGAGTTTGCCGATCACTGCCCTAGGGGCCTCAGAAGGCAGGGCAGGGCTGGACAGGACATCCTGGAGCTGAGGCAGATAAAAGGTTAGACCAGAAGAGACTATGATCTGAGCTGAGAATAACTGGGCCATAGCCATCTCCCAGGCCTCACACACGGGCAGTGTATCAATGGCAATGAGAAGGCAGAGACCATTTTTAGTGGTAGCTAGCCTGCCAGGGCCCTAGGCAAAATTTCAGAGTCGACAAGCATCCTTCAACACTGGCTGTGGACTCTCAGTATATGCATAAAATAATCGCATACTCAGTTTGTCTAGAAGCGTTGAGTGAATCAGTGCTGTTGAGTCCCCATGGAGGGGCTCAGCATACTACATGGATATATCTTTCCCCTCCTGGAGTCTTCCAGCTCCTAGTCATACAATTATTAGTCAGTCCTTTCAGCCTATGGAAATATATTTTCTATTAACATGTTCTATGGAATGGTTTATACGGTATGTGTTTGGGAGAGGGGGTGGGAGTATGTTTTTTGAAAAAGTATCTCAGAAAGAGTTATAACAAACAAGGTATTATATAAGCTATCCGTTCTTGGTCCAAAGTTTTTGGTGCCTCTCTGTCTTCTATAGCTTTACTTTCCAGATTCAGTCAACAGATATTTATTGAACACCTATTATGTGCCAAGCTCTGTGCTTACATTGATGCTTAAGTTTCAGCAGTGGTGCAGAAAATGCCTCTGCCTTCCAAGAACTTATCCTCTAGTGGGAAAGACAAACATTAAGTAATGAAGCATGCAATGAATATTATAATAAATTGACATGTGCAGAGTGCTGCTGGTTGTAAAGATAAAAGAGATGGGTGTAATAAGAGTGTGTGTCAAAAAAATCTAACCCAGTGAGGGGACTAGGGACACCTTCGCCGCAGAAGTGGTATTTAAGCTGATACATGAATGTGTGCTAGTTGCTAGGTAGACGAGGTAGTCAAGGGGGTTGTGTGGACCGAGGGTGTGTTTGAAGGTTTAGAGGTGCAAGAAGGCTGTTAAAGGATTTAAGACTTGACTCCGAAGGCAATAAGACACCATTGAAGAGTTGTAAGTATGCTTTTAAAGGCTCTCTCTGGCATCCAACTGAGGAATGGATGGAGCAGGGAAAGTGGACAGAAAGCTTTTGCAATTGTCTGGTAAGGTGGTCGCCAAGACCCAGTTGATGAAGAGAGAGGCACAGATGTAAGAGATATTTAGGAGATGGAATCGGAGAATTGGTGATCCTGGATGTGGGCGTCTAAACACTCCTTCACTCTTTTTACAACATCCTTTGCCTAAGACTTCTGTGATTAAAGTAAGTGCCACCAAGTTACAAATGAGCACATAAAGCTAAAATATTCAGATTAGGTTACTCACGTTGGTGTTCATGTCGAGTATCCCCAAGTCTACCCTAAGTTCAGTGATTCGCCATGAGAATAAAAACAGGCTGGTTTCTCACAATTATGGTTTATTACAACAACAGGATGCCCATTAAAATCAGCCAAGGGAAAGAGCACCTGGGATAAAGCCTGGGAAGATCCAGGCACAGGCTTCTGAGTGTCCTCTCCCAGTGGGGTCACCTAGCAGAGCTTAACTCTCCCAGCAGCAGTGCATAACAGTACGCGCAGTGTTGTCAACAGGGGCCCAGCCTGAGCATCTTTATTGAGGGTCAGTCACACAGACACAGAGTACCAACCTGACAGACTCTACCCAACCCTGGAGCAAAAACACATTTATGCATAAAGCATCTGATCCAACTGGTGCTGTTTGGCCCCAGGCCTCAGGCATACAAACACCAGGCAGAATACTCCAGAGGCTCAGAGCTTATCTCCCAGAAGCTGGCCACAGGCCAGTCCCCAGGAGACAGGCTTTTCTTAGGAATGTGCAGGGTTTGAGCAGCCCAAGCCTGCTGAGTTAACAGTTTTCGTGCACAGTGCTGGAGCCTGAGGAGCCTGGTCAGACATGGGGAGGAAGGTACTCAGGAGGTGAGTTTTATGCTCCAGACTTCCTTCACGAGGCTGTCTCTTCTCTGGTACATCAGGGAGAAGAGTACTTAGTGGATTGTAGCATGGTATTGGGGATCCCAGGTCACTCCTGGTTTATATAAGTAATCCTATAGATCAGAGGCCTCAGTGATGAGAGGTGGATAAATAAACCTGGCACTTACTGGAAATCTTACTCAGCAAAACCCGGAACGTGGACTATCTCCGACATTTTCATCTATACAATAGTCTCCATAGCAGATGTTAATGTATTAGTAATTTTATCTAAGGTCTGGCATAATTTTCTAAACTCTCTCAATGATGATTGTCTACTTACGATTAGTTAGATCTTCCCATATTAAATAGCAATCAGAGAGTTATACTATTTAGAATCTTAAAATATTTACTTTCCCAATACTCCTGGGTAATTTGAGAAGTGTTTGTTTTGAAAAGCAAAATATATGTAAGGTGCATTGCTAAAAGAGCACTTGCACTGAACCTGTAGTTGGAGAAAAATTATTTTTAATATATTTTTTATTAATTTTTTACAGAGAGGAAGGGAGAGGGATAGAGAGCTAAAAACATCGATGAGAGAGAATCATTGACCAGCTGCCTCCTGCACACCCCCTACTGGGAATGTGCCTGCAACCCAAGGTACATGCCCTTGACCGGAATAGAACCTGAGACCTTTCAGTCTGCAGACCGACGCTCTATCCACTGAGCCAAACCAGTTTTGGCATTTGGAAAAAAATTTAATGTCGGAGTCAGATAATGTGCTTTTGCCAGGACCTCCTTCACGGGTGATGTAAGAATAAAAGCAGTACAACTATTTAAAATAACCAGAGAAGAATGAATCAAGCAAGTGAGCTGATGATAAAGAGATTGTTTGATGGGACTGAGGATCGGTAGATTCCAGATGAGTAAAGAGAAAAAAAGATTGCATAATAAAATGCTCCCTGGATAGGAAAATTAGTAATAACATTCTGAGTACACATAGTTTTGGAAAGGTCACTGCTTTTCAAAGGAAGGGGCAAGATTATCTGAAATATTACAACCAGAAAATACGATCATGAAATGGGTTAGCATGAGGGCTTGAGTGAAGGCCCATTGGAAGAGATTTCAGTTCAGTGCCTCCGCCCTGCATTGTCATGTATAATACAAGCAATTCACATACCATTGAAGATGTTGAAGGGGAAATAAGAAACTTTAGTATTTTAGATTAAATGGAAGTAGGAATCTGAATTTTTAAATTATTTTGTGTCTGTCATAGAGAGTAACTTGGATAATTATGTAAATGCTGAAAGCAAGGGACTGAATGTAATTATGGCAAATTTCTGTTAAATTAATGTGAAAAGACAATATTTCCTTCACAGCTGTGGTTTCAGGAGTATAGTTTTTCTCAAATCCAGTTTGCAGTTATGTTATAACATGTAATGGTAAACTAGCTCTTTTATTTAACAATGCTAGAGGCCCGGTACATGAAATTCATGTGGGGGGGAGGGGGTTTTCAGCCAAGCCGGGACCCTTCGGGGATGTCCAGCTGCTGGTTTAAGCCCAATTTGAGATCGAGCCTAAACCGGCAGTCAGACTTCCCTCTCACAATTTGGGACCACTGGCTCCTAACTGCTCACCTGCCTGCCTGCCTGATTGTCTCTAACTGGCCCCTCTGCTGGCCTGGTTGCCTTCAACTGCTCCCCCCACCCCCACCTGCTGCCCTGGTCACCTCTAACTGCCCCTTCTCTGCCAGCCTGGTCATCCTTCACTGTGCCCCTCTGCCGGCCTGTTCGTCCCTAACTGCTCTCCCTGCTCGCCTGGTCATCCCCAACTATCCCTTCTGCCAGTTTGGTTGCCCCCAACTGTTCCCCCTCTGCTGAACTGGTCTCCCCTCACTGCCCAACTCTGCTGGCCTGGTTGATCCTAACTGCCCTCGCCCCTGCAGGCCTGGTCATCCCCAACTGCCCCACCTGCCATCCTGGTCACCCCAATTGCCCCCCTGCCAGCATAGTTGCTCCTCATGGCCCCCCTGCCAGCCTGGTCACCCCCAACCACCCCCCCCCCCGTTGGCCTGGTCACTCTTCATTGTCCCCCCCGCCAGCCTGGTCATCTCACAAAACCTGCTGTTTAGTCGTTTGGTCATCCCTCACTAACTCCCCTGCTGGCCTTGTCACTTCATGCAGCCTGCTGTTCGGTCATTACTTTGAGGGCATCCTGACCAATTTGCATATTGCCTTTATTTTTTAATATATTTTTTATTGACTTTTTACAGAGAGGAAGGGAGATAGATAGAAAGTTAGAAACATCGATGAGAAAGAAACATTGATCAGCTGCCTCTTGTACACCCCCTACTGGGGATGTGCCCACAACCAAGGTACATGCCCTTGACCAGAATTGAACCCGGGACCCTTCAGTCCGCAGGCTGACGCTTTATCCACTGAGCCAAACCAGTTTCAACACATATTGCCTTTTTATTAGTATAGATGAATTGAAACAGTTGTGGAATCACTTAAAAGTAATCTTTAGTTTTTTAGCATAATCATAGATAATTAGGGGATGAAGTTACCACATTATAAGAAAAGTATACTTCGGTCTGGCCAGTATGACTGTGATTGGGCATTGTCCTGTGCACTAAAAGGTTGCTGGTTAGATTCCCTGTTAGGGCACATGCTCTGATTGTGCAGGAAAGGGCATGCAAGAGGCAGCCTATCAGTGTTTCTCTTTCATTGATTTTTCTCTCCCCCTTCCGTCCTCACTAAAATCAATAAAAACAGATTAAACAAAGAAAAGTGCACTTAAAATAACAGCTAGCCTTTTTTATGGTACTAATTATGTGCTAGGCACTGTTCTGAGTGCCTTACATAAAATGTGTAATCCTTATAATAGTTTTTTGAGATAGGTTTTATTATCCCCATTTTACAGATGAAATCGAAGCACTGAGCTATTAAATGACTTGCCTAAGACCACACAGCCAAAAAGTGATTTCAAATCCAGGAAATAAAGATTCTCCAGAGTCTGCACTGCATCATGCTGTCCCACCATTCACAGATTACAAATTGATCGGGAGATGGGAGCGCTCCCATGGGTGATAATGCAGCTTAGCCAGTGAAAGAATCGAAATAGAGAGAGAAAGTCCTCAATGTTAACCCAAATATGAAAGAAAAAGAAACTTAAGAGCAATAATCTTTTTTTTTTTTTTGAATGATTGGTCCTTTGTCCTCAACTAGAGCCTAGTAGATACAATGAAATAGTAATGAGCGGCTGCCAGAGCCATTGTCGTTGCAAAGAATTTTCCAGCAGGCAGCACTTGGCACTGGTATTGAGGATAAGGAAGGAAAATTGAACAGGAACTACTGTCTAACACTTTGCGTCTAAAATAATGTAGTGATTATAACTGTGCATTTGTATGTCATTTCAAATAGTATGGAAATTAAAATTACAATATCTATTCTTTAGTGGTATCATTTAGTGGTACTCTGCTCTAAAATTTCCTTTGTTATCCAGGGTGGTTGGAGAATTGGTCCATCTGGTTTCTTTCCTTCCATTGGAAAGTCTTTGCTTTGTAACCCTTGTTGTAATTATTAGTTAACATTGAAGGTTCCTCTTCTGTTTCACCTTACCCTAGTCTCCTTTAGTGCAGTTTGTTCCATGTCCCCCCATCTCTCATGGTTCCTTTGTTTCCTCAATTCAGTTGCAAGCCCTACAAGGAAAGAGAATAGCCCTGTTCTTCTTGTCTGCCATACCTTGTACTAATTGGACACACAGTACTTGCTGTTTCAAGGCCTTGGCAAGTTTGGCTCAGTGGATAGAGCATCGGCCTCCCAACTGAGGGGTCCTGGGTTCAATTCCAGTCAAGGACACATGTCCGGGTTGTGGGCTCATTCCCTAGCAGGGGGTGTGCAGGAGGCAGCCGATCAATGATTCTCATTATAGATGTTTCTATCTCTCTCTCTCTTCCTCTCCCTTCCTCTCTGAAATAGAAAGGACAAAAAAAAAGAATATAATGTATCTTTTCTTTGGTTAATGATTATAGTTCCTGATTACAAACCTTTGTTATGAATGTGCAGTTCTGTTGATCTACGCAGTATAAGGTACTGAGCTACCTTGAAGACAAGAATTATCATGTAACTATATTTGCATCTAGAGTTCTTAGCACAGCACATAGGCACACTCATAAATATTTTTAAATAAATTCACCAGTGAGTGAATCAGTGCTAAGATGCTGATTTTTTTTTTTTTGTTTAAATCTCAGTTGGAAATTTGCTTTCTTGAATCAACCCTGATTTTTCCTTTAAAATTGAGTGGTTAGTGGAGTTTTTTAAAATCAGAGTTCTATCATGTATGTTTTCATTTTCTAAAATCATTGATTTTTAACCATCCCTATTTATGATTACTTATCCTATATAATAAGACCTTAATATGCAAATCGACCGAATTGTGGAACGACCAGTCACTAGGACGCACACTGACCACCGTGGGGCAGACGCTCAATGCAGGAGCTGCCCCATGGTGGTCAGTGCGCTCCCACAGAAGCCGGCTCTTGGTTGGGGAGCACAGTGGCAGTGTCGGAGCCTCTCCTGCCTCCACAGCAGTGCTCAGGACCCTTTGGAGGATGTCTGACCATAAATTGGCAGGTGGCCATCCCTAAGGGGTCCCAGGCTGTGAGAGAGTGCAGGCCGAGCTCAGGGACCACACCCCTCCAGTGCACAAACGTCATGCATCGGGCCTCTAGTTGGAATACAAATTATTTAAATTATTTTTAATGCTCAATAGCATTAGCATGTTTTTTTATTAAAAGTTTCAGTAATTTATCTGCAGTGTTTTTACATGTTTATTTCATGTTTGAAAGTGGCTAAAGAACATATAAAATAGAAAATAAACAACAGCTTTTTTAACTCTGAAAAATTGGAAGTAATATCCAACCAAAAAATCCTTTTCTTGCCCATCACTGGTCTGGGCATATTGACTTCTAAAGTATTTCTTGTATTCTTTTTTTACCACTACAGTCACGTTGGCCATTTTCAATATTATAATTTACAAAAGATTAAAGTCTGGAATTTGTAAATTAATTCCAAATGTGTAAAGTGTTTTTCTCTCGCAGGGAAAAGGCTAGCATGGTTGTCCCGGAAGAAAGGGAAGGCAGAAGTGAATCAAACCTGGATCTGGTGAGAGGCTCTGTGTCCGCAGGGGATCCCGCCGACACTCGGAAAGCAGGTGAGGCCTGCCCTCCCGTTGCCTCTAAAGAAGGCTGTGAGATCCCAGAGTTTCTATGCCGAGACTTGGTTTTCTCAACACTTAAAGATGATGTCTGCTCCCAAACCCTGGTCTCCACTCTGCCGTTTATTAACCCTGTGTCCTTCCTGAATCTAAGGCTCCTCGCCTGTAAAATAAGGGGGTGTAGTTGCTGCACCCCAGCTTGGAAATTAGTTAAGTTCCAGCACTGCTTTTCAATGTGGTTGGTTGAGACTCAATGTACTTTTGCAAAGAAATTTTTGTAAATGGTGATTAGGTTCTTATCTTAACTGGAAGGAGCCGGTTTAACCAGAGATAAATAGGCAGGAGTTGTTTAGGTACATTCCCACTTGTCTTTCTGGAGCTGTTTATTCTTCTTGAAGCTTCTCCAGATCACAGGGGCGTGTATTCTCATTGCTGTGCAGTATCCAAACTGCAGCAGACCACCAAGACCTGCTGGACTCCAAGCGCACCCTGATCCAGGAATAATTCCCCACATCCCACTTCCCCTCATCCCACTTCCCCATCCCATTTCCCCTCATCCCACTTCCCCTCATCCCACTTCCCTATCCCATTTCCCCTCACCCCATTTCCCCTCACCCCATTTCCCTTCACCCCCTTCCCCTCATCCCACTTCCCCTCATCCCACTTCCCCATCCCATTTCCCCTCATCCCACTTCCCCTCATCCCACTTCCCTATCCCATTTCCCCTCACCCCATTTCCCCTCACCCCATTTCCCCTCACCCCATTTCCCCATCCCATTTCTCCTCACCCCATTTCCCCTCATCCCACTTCCCTTCATCCCACTTCCCCTCACCCCACTTCTCCTCATCCCATTCCCCCTCACCCTGTTTCCCCTCACCCCATTTCCCCTCACCCCATTTCCCCTCATCCCACTTCCCCTCATCCCACTTCTCCTCATCCCATTTCCCCTCATCCCACTTCTCCTCATCCCACTTCCCCTCATCCCACTTCCCCATCCCATTTCCCCACATCATGTCCCCTTATCCCATTTCCCCATGGCAGCAGCTGAGATCAGCCAGGTTTGGCTCAGTGGATAGAGCGCCGGCCTGTGGACTGAAGGGTCCCGGGTTCAATTCAGGTCAAGGGCATGTACCTTGGTTGCAGGCACATCCGGGTAGGGGGTGTGCAAGAGGCAGCTGGTCGATGTTGGTCGATGTTTCTCTCTCATTGATGTTTCTGGCTCTCTATCTGGCTCTCTGTCCCTCTCTCTTCCTCTCTATAAAAAAAAAATCAATAAAAAAAAGTATAAATAAATAAAAAATAAATAAACAAACAAATAAATAAATAAAAATGCTACTTTTTTCTTAATAGGTGGCCAAGAACAGAAAAGTGTACAGCAAACTATAGTGGTGGACATGCGTGAGTTCCGAAGTGAACTCCCCTCTCTGATCCATCGTCGGGGCATTGACATTGAGCCGGTGACCTTAGAGGTCGGAGACTACATTCTGACTCCGGAAATGTGTGTGGAACGCAAGAGCATCAGTGATCTGATCGGCTCTCTAAACAACGGCCGCCTCTACAGCCAGTGCGTCTCCATGGCCCGCTACTACAGGCGGCCAGTGCTGCTGATCGAGTTTGACCCCAGCAAGCCCTTCTCTCTCATCGCCCGAGGTGCCTTCCATCAGGAGATCTCCAGCAACGACGTTAGCTCCAAGCTCACCCTGCTCACCCTGCACTTCCCCAAACTCCGGATCCTCTGGTGCCCGTCCCCCCATGCCACCGCCGAGCTGTTCGAGGAGCTGAAACAGAATAAGCCGCAGCCCGATGCGGCGACAGCCATGGCCATCACGGCAGATTCTGGAACCCTCCCCGAGTCAGAAAAGTATAACCCGGGACCCCAGGACTTCTTGTTGAAGATGCCCGGGGTGAATGCCAAAAACTGTCGCTCCTTGATGAACCACGTGAAGAGCATTGCGGAATTGGCCAGCCTGTCAGAAGACAAGCTCGCTAGTGTCCTGGGGAACGCCGGGAATGCGAAGCAGCTTTATGACTTCATTCACACCTCTTACGCAGAGATCCTATCTAAAGGGAAAGGGAAGAAATGAACAATGGTGGCTGTTTACTTACCCAGTCCGTCCGTCCGTCCGTGACTGTGCTTTTCGACTGCTCTCTGCCAGCTGCAATAGGTCATTATTAATTATTAGCTCAGTCTTTCATTCTCTCCCCTTGTTTTTAACGTTTGTGCTGTGTTTCCTAGTTCAGTGGGTCAGAAGCCAAGGTTTCTCCCTGAGCTTTGCATTTAAGCACCTTTTTAAGGTTCTCGTGCCAGCTCTCCCTCCCTCCCTGCGCTGTCCGTCCATGCCTGGGCGCGTGTGTTCAGTTTTTAAATAAGAGTATCAGGATCAGGTAAAGGTTCTATAAGTGCTTACAGAAGGCCACGTTTGAGACAAGCTGAAGTTGACGTGTCCTGCACAGACTGACAAAGCACACGATCGTGTTTTCACCCTCCGTCTGCAGAGCGCCCCGGGAACTCTGAGAAGGAAACATTTCTTTGCCATTTCTGACCAGCTTCTCCCCACGTCTTCCTCAGACATCCTTCTGCCACCTGTCTGCCTCTGAGAAAACTCATATGGGCCTCCTCCTAATTTAAGACAACCACCTCTAAAACTGACCGGTTCATTTTCTAGTCACCTGAATAGATATAGATGAAGCACTCAGTTGTTCCAAACAAGTATTTTTAAAACATAAAATGAATTACCTATTTACAGAATTTTATGGTGTTGATGAGGAACGCCTAGAATTCTGTTTTTACTGATAGTTAACATCCTAAAGAGTTTTGTTTTCCTTCCTTAAGTTAAAAGGATTGCAAGTAACTGGAAAATCAATTTATATATTATATAAAATTCTAAATAAATATATATATGTATTTAAAACATAAAGAGCCCTGGCCGATATGGCTTATGAGTTGGTTATCATCCCGTGCACTGAAAGGTTGCCCATTTGACCCCCAGTCAAGGTGTGTGTGGGAGGCAACCGATTGATGTTTTTCTCTTCTTTTTCTCTCTCTCCCTCTTCCTTCCTCTCTCCCCCCCCCCCCCAAAAAAAAACAAAACAATAAAAAATATTTTTTTAAAATTCATAAAGAAAACAATCTCATTGTAAACCTGATTTATTTGACTTTTAAGGTGTATATAAGGGGCATTCATAACATCTTTGTGCAGTTTTTAAACTTTATATTTAAACATTATTAACTTAAGTATTTCACGTATTTAAGAATGAGTAGTAAAATTTCTACCTCAAGGGCTGATGTAGACATCAGTTCCACTAGCCATGTCCCAGAGGGTAATGTTTCTCCAGGTCGGCCATGTTTCTGTTTGTCACACTAAGTCTCAACTCCGAGGACACAGTGGATAAATGTCCTCTCTAAGCGGAACCACACTGATTCCTCGGTTTCTTGGTATGTTAATGAATGTTAATACAGTTAAAGTATATGTGGATTTTGCAAGGATACTGCACAAATGAATTGAAGGGCATCAAAGATGGTTGTGTTCAGTGTGAGTTCAGTTTTTGTAGGACTATTGGTTATTGTAGAACTCTATTGAGAGATTTGGAGAGTAGAGGACAAAAAACAAAAATTAGTTTAAGGTAGATGAAAGATTTGGGCTACTAATTTTGTTTAAAATAGGGTTAAAAATATACCCTTGAGAACAGAAAGCAAAAATGTCAGATACACATGTATTTTACATTAAAATCATAATTAAAAGGAATGTTAAAACTAGCCGTGCCACCTCAAATAATCATGGTTACTGTCATTTTTATTCACCCTATTCCATCACTTTATCTTGAGGTATGTAATTTCTATTTTATTATTTCTTCTCTTAGATTCCATCTGCCTTTTATTGTTCTTTCATTACATAAAAGGAAAAACCTGACATAGCACATTCTTTGATAAGGGTTTTATTACAAGTTAAATTTCCAAAAATAATCTCTTAAAGCTTCCATTTTAAACAATCCTAGTTATTAGTACAACTGAGGTAACAGTGTTCATTGTATTTAGAAAACCAGTGACCCCTGACTCTCAAGTCCTGTTACAGACCATTGTACCGAGTGGACATTTGAAAACAGGTGCATCGTCTTGTGTATATTTGACTTACGCGTGATAGTGTCTAATAACTCTCCCTGTCATGTCCTCTCCCAACTTACTTGTATGTATTTTAAATGTGTCTCCAGTTGTGGGAACCATCATGTGTTTACTTTTATCAAATATTTTTTAAAATGTTTACAATCCGTGGCAAAGGAACTAGACATGCACAGTTGAAAAATTCCAATAACACTTTGTATTCTAGCATCATTTTGTTAGCTCTGCCTCTTTCTTTGAAAGTCAGAGATATCCAGTATACAGATGAACTTACACTTAGCTTTTTAAAAACTTGAGCTCGGCATTATTTTACTTGACGTTTTCTACATAAAAACTTGAGCATATGAAATGGTGTGATACGTTGATTTGTTTACATCGTTATGCCGCTGTGTTTCCTTAAAATCATACAAGAAGTCATTGTTAATAGTGGCCATAAATAATATCCTTTGACAATAAGTTGCTGTTTCTTCGATCTGTTTCTTCAATCTGAGGCTTCATATGTCTACATATGTTTTCGTGCAGCCAGGAAACAGTTTCCCAGCGCATGGGGGACTAAAAATAACGTTGGTCCCATTCGTGAACCCACTGGGAACATGGAGGGTTAATCTAGATTTGGTTGTGTGGAGAGCGTAAAATCAATAAATGGCCTTGAACAGGAATGCCCGCACTGAAGCAGATCCGAAGTAACGGGTGGGGGCAAAATGGCAGACATTAGTCTTTGCTTTTGTTTTTTCCAGCATAATTTGATTTTCCTTTGGCTCAGAAAGCCCTTTAGGGAAATACCCTTCTCTTTGGTGTTTAGTTGAAACTAGAAATGTCCTCTTAAAAACCAACTCTGTAGGAAAATTCTTTTCTTGGGCTCAAGTATATAAAAATGTATCCAGGCTTCTGCACGAGTTGTCATTTTTTTTCCCCTTAATTATTTCGCGGTGTATTTTGAATTACAGCTCTTTCCTGTTTGATTCTTAACTTCAGTACTTCACTTACCGTCTTTATCCACAGGTTTTTCGTGGCTTACGGGACTGTGTTTTGATTTAAGGATATGGAAGCCAACATTGGGGTGGGATGGAGACACAACTGATTTATATCAATGTGTGTGTTTTTAATAAAATGTGTATTTATTCAGTATTTTCCTCAGCACCCTGTGGGTAAAGTAAAAATAACAGTACATACTGAAAGGGCATAAATTTCCCAGTGCATTATATTTACCATTGTGTTAGTAAATATAATTTGTGATTCAGAGAGTATTTAATTTTGTTTCTTTTTTTGTTCTGTCGAATAAATGATTAAAGCTGAACTGCTCTTTGAACCACTGCTATTGTGTGTGACATGCTTGGTCAATCCACTTTCTAAGGCTTCAGCATGTTTTTCTTTTGGCATTTTTTTATTTATTATTATTTTGTAGCAATTCTCCTTAAGGAAGAAAAAAAACAGAACTATTCTCCTCCTGAAAATACTCATTTGTTGACATATAATGACTATCTGGCGAGCACAATGCCTAGACGTCTTAACAGAGATTAATTTCCTGCCACCCCTGACTCATACATTTTTGTTCCTTGAATGTCAAAGTTGAAAGAAGTGAATTATCCTTTGACACACGTAGAATCTATTAATCCCATAACAAGTTAATTATTAGTTTAATTGGCTCATTACTGTGATTTAATTATTTTGTTTCTGCTATGAAATGTAGAACCAAATCCCTTTTTAACAAGGGGTAAGACAGGCTATTTCTCAAAATGTTGTAATGTCATAATAAAGATCCTACTAGAATAATTAACCCTTTCTTTGTAGTAGTAATGTACGTTATTTCATTTAATCCTCATAGCAAAGCTGTAAGGATACTACTATTTAAAACGTTTCCAGCCCCTGTGAGTGCACACACGTGGGGGTGATGTACGCGGGAGAGCAGCGTCCTGTATCGACGACAGAGGATGCATAAATACATACGAGCGATCATTGGGGGGGGAGAAATAAGTTAAAAAAAATAAATGTTTTACTCTGAAACTGAGGCACAGAGATGTTAAGTAATTTACCTGATGGAACCCTAGGGTCTGACTCCAGAGTTCCTGATGAAACAGTGGTGAGTGGTTTGAGGAGAGAATGGGAGATTGGTTAGCATCCATGTTTATATATCTAATTACAGGTAGTCATAGGAAGAGCAGATTGGTTTGTTTTCATGCACCTCTCTTTAAAAAAAAAAAAAATACACCTCATTGATTTTTTACAGAGAAGAAGGCAGAGGGATAGAGAGTTACAAACATCCATCAGGTGCCTCCTGCACACCCCCCAACTGAGGATGTTCCCGCAACCAAGGTACATGCCCTTGACCGGAATCAAACCTGGGACCTTTCAGTCCCTAGGCCGATGCTCTATCCACGGAGCCAAACTGGCCAGGGCTATTTTCCTACAGCTCTTAGTTAATAGTGTCAGGAGCAAGTATGCAAAACTTGGCAAGAGGTCAAAGTGAACTCTGAGCACCCTCTCTGTGCTTCCGGGGGACTATGATTTTCTAGGGTATAAACCTTACGCTGACTGATCAGGAAGGCTATTGGGCAACTTTGTAAGAATAGACAGACTAACCTATAGAAAACCTGATAGCAATACAGGCATACACTTTTGGAAAGTTCACAATACGCCACTTCGCTTTTACAAAAGACCTTCCTAGTACCCGAGGATCTTCACTTTTACGGAAAAAGGCAAAAGCAAAAATAGCATTTAGTATTATTTCGCAGCAAGCTCTCCATGAGGCAGCCAGCACCCCCAGCAGTGAGAGCAGCCCGTCAGCTCCTTCCCCGAGGAGCCCACTCAGCCAAACAGCGTTGAATGGTGTCTGGGAGCCTCTGATCTTCGTCTGAATCCACTCTGCACATCCGTCAGCAAGAGGAGGCCTTAAGGTGTCAGAAAAAGCCTGAGAGAGCGGGTAAGGGTGTTACTCTTATCGGAAAACTGGGCGTAATTAAGTGTCTT